ACTAGTTTTATACATGCATAATTACCTGAATTCCACTGTTTATACTTGTTTTACTTTATTGTTAGGACCTCGTGGTACCTGTTGTTTTAGTTATAGCCGACTCCCATAATCAATGCGCCATGTATTTACGAAGTTTAGCGAGCGCTTTATTTCAACTATAATTTATTGATTAATGCTTGTATAGATATTTAATGAGACTAGAAATAGCTAGACTAGAAAATAAATGTTTCTTTAATTTTTATTACTTTCTCGTAAGCGTGAGAATTTGTTGTGGGAACTAGAGCATCCCGTCATGTTTTTCATTGGTTGTTGTAATTTACGTGACGTTACTGATTGGTCGCGTTTCATGATGTCATTTTACTACGTATATAAACACGAGTTGCAGCAGTGAATTTTGACTGATTTTGGGTTGTAGAAAGGTGCGTTACTTTAGTTTGTTAATTTTATTACATTTACTTTGGGAGAAAGACTTCGAAGCACAGTTAAGGCTGCAGTAAGGAGGCGGGGCCTAATTTTTACGGGAAATGCTTACTATGACATCACACAAATGTATATGTTCTTCAAATTACCGCAAAATGAAATGATCTGCTATTTTAAACTGTTGGATAGCTTTAAACTACATCAATACTTACTATTGCATGTATTTTTGTCGTTGGTTTATCCCACAGAGCAATATATAAACAATTCACTGATCGCAATGCACTTGTCAATGTGACGTCATATCGCAAAATTTGACGCAGTTTGTATGCAGTGAGAGGCGGATCAAGTTATATTTTATACAATGAAAAATGTATTTTGTAAGTAAATAAAATATATTTGCAGATATATAAGAGGCCATTAACTTGGATGCGATGTACATTTCCTAGACAAGCGGTACTGCCGTATATTTGTATGCAGATTCATTGAAGGGTAATAGAAGGGTCGTAATAAATCGATATATTGCAAGGGCATACCCTCAATGAATTATGACAAGCTTTTACACATAAACTCAAGAGGTATGAAGATATTTGAAAAGTGCTGCGAACCAGATGAAATCTTGCAAATGAATTAATTATATCTATATTTAATGTACTTGACCAGCAAAATACTCAGTATACGGTCTAACAAACGTGATTTTAGCAGTCATATAGTAGAATCTATATAGGTTCGCAGCACTTTTCACAAACTACAAAGAGTGTTGAAAATAATTATAAATTAAACTTAGATTTTCAACGTGGTTATGCCCTTGGAATATTGGAATTTATAGATGACCTCAATACTGCAGGTATATTTGCTAAAATCACGTGACTGCCACATTACGTCACAAGTCTAGGTAAGAAATCTAATCGTCCCCAACATGTAGTTTTTTAACCACATTACATTTGTCTGATAATAGTAAAGTCCTAAAAAGAATCGCCCATCCTTGTAAAGAATGTATTTTCTATATAAAAATTCGCCGATATTTCCATTTGTCACCTTAACTGTGCTGCGTTTAGAACATTTGGGATTGAGTTGGTCATGGTTTGTTATAAATAAGTAAGTTTATTTACAGGTATTTGCTGAGCTGTTTACCGTGATATATCGATCTGAAATTATTAGAATTATTTTACGGATATTGTATCCGTTGTTATTTCAATTACTGGTTAAATCTACCAGTCTCAATACAATAACAAGTACAGAATACTTAGGTTTTAAGGATTTATTTGGAATTACTGTTTCATAGAAATGAAGTATGTGTTCAGAATAAACCATTTATTTGTTAAATTTACAAGACTTGTCTTTATTTCACTTTCACCTTTAATTTGGAAGTAGAGAGAAAGAAATTAGTTTTTATTTTATTATTATACACCAGTGCGCTTATCCGGTGTCGTTACAGTACAAAGATTTGTCATCCTCATGTTTGCCTTTTGGCCTTTTCTCGCAATAGAACCGTGATAGTCGATTTGAAATTGTTGGGATGTCTACTGACTGCATGTCTAAAAAGGTTCCAAAGACTTCTATGTTCCAATCTATAAGATTTTGAAATGGATAGACCTATTCAGTTGTGTTTTGAAGTGACATTGTGTAACATTTTGAGTTATGCATTTGTTTGAGCAATTAAAACAACAAATTTTGACTCTTGAAAGTTTGTATACAAATGTCAATTTGCAGCTTAGATACCTTGAAAAATTCTCATCCCCCATGCTGTGTCTCCTTTTGTTGTTTTGTTGCCCTCTAGATTCAAACAATCTATCCATTTCTTCACTTGTTACAGTTTCAAATCTCTGTGAAAATGCAGGTTTTATTTAGTATCACATTCAACTTGGCCCAACCCATACTGTATAATTTTATATCTAAAATTGAAATTGATTTATTTTTATTTTAGAAGTTAATAAAATAATTAAGTAAGAAACATTTTTAATTATAACTAACTTAATTCTTGCTAATAATTGATACCTTTGCTTTTGGCTGATCAGAGAAACTGAGTGTTTCGGGCAGTGGTGCCTCAAGTTTTACTTCTAGGCCTACGTGTGCATCTAGATCTACATTTAAATTACCGCTCTCTGATAAATTATCAAGAGAGGAATCAAAATCTGTGTCGGAAAACAGTTCAAAAATGTCCATATCCTCAAAATTTAAATTGAAATTTGGTTTGAATTCATCCGTTTTGACATGTAGTTTTCTATTTGTTTACATTTAGCAGACTACATCTACATAAGTAGTTCAAGTTGTGTATTCATACGCCGTGATTAGGTTTTGAGTGTGTTAATTGATTTTATGAACAATATAAAATAATTTATGACAACAAGATTATATATAGGATTTTTTTTAATTGTATTTTTGTCATATTTGTTTATTCAACTTAAGCATCTAGAGTTTACGCGTACTTAATTACCGGAAATAAAACATGACTCAATGCGAGTAAATTTTAGCTGCCAGCCGCAGTTAACTCTGCATCATTCTGCATACCTAGGTATGCGCGCTTTTAATTGGTTTTTTGTGGATGTCGCCCTGGGTTTTTCCAGGGGTCTGCGTCGTTCGCTGCATTCCTTGATTTGGCTGCTAGCTGCAAGGACGATTTAAATCCCACCCACTGACCTCCCTCATTTTCTGTCAGAAACTCTAGATGCTTTTGTTCTTAGGTGGTAACATTATTTTATACCCACCTTTGCGAATCTATGTCATTTATTCAATCATATCAAATGATGCATTTTCTAAATGCTAATTATATAATATTCAATAATTTGAGTAATGTACTTTTGTGAATAAATATAGGAATATGAATGTTTTAGATTTCCAATGCATTTCTTTGATGAGAAATACATTGAATGTAAATATAGTGCAGTGAGGTGCGCAATAGAATTATCGGCATTTTTGTGAAATTACATTATATTTATTAGGACGAACGTTTCTTTTTAAAACTTTACCTATGTCAAAAATATTATGGATAAAAATTTCATATTTTGAACAAGAACTTTTCGAATTATTAGTTTATGTGTGAAAGCAAATAATAATCCATTGAATGTATGCCCTTTCAATAGATCGATTTATTAAGACTGGCCATACCTGGCAATACCTTAAATAAAATATACGGCAAAATCACTTTACCAGTTGCTTGCTTGGTAATGTAGAAAAGATATATGAAGGAATTTATTTAAAAAAACATAGTATTCCACTTAATGCTCCATTAAATACTTGCAAACACAATGGTATTGACAAATGCAATGCGATCGGGTTCTTTGATACACCTAGCAGTGTCAGAGTTTAGTGAGACATGTTAGATCGGATATAATTTATTTCTCTTAAGTACTCTAAAATCGCAAAATTAAAATTATTCTCTGATATTTTAAAGAATTATTATGTTTGTGTAGTGTCATAGATTTTCCCCTTAGAATTAGGCCTTTCTTTTATATAAAAAAGATTCGCTGTACTGCATTGCAATTTATTTAAACTGTAATATATACATAATATATTCTCACGCAATAAAAAAAATGATTCTGACATATTTTGAGTGCACATACATGTTAACTCCTCGCGTGAAAAGAGTAACACATTTTTGTTATATAATCTTAAATTGAAGTAATTATGAATGCCTTATTTGAAATGTAATTTAAATCTAATGAAATTTAAATCAGTCTAGGCATTGGAAATTTGTCATTGCATTCAAATTTGAATAAAAGGAGGAGCTTTGATTCCCATCCTAATTTTTGATATTTTAGTAAAGGAAAAATTCCAAATATAAATAAAAGTCATGATTCGGTAAAATTTGCCAAAAATATTAGTGCAAGTCACAACGTATATTCTTGAAAATTTATTTCTTCTAATTATAATCATGGTTTATTTATGCACAATTGCAATTTACAGCATTAAGTACAGACGCTTGTCGTAATATCACATGTCGTAATTAAACCCACGTGCAAGGTATTATTAAGAAATAAGATATCATTTTTAGAGTTCTATTCGGATATGACATGAAGTTGGTCACGTGATCAAATCATTTAACGCCCTGAGGCGTTATAGTAGATTTGATTTGATCACGTACAAACCTCATGTCATATCGCAATGAAACTCTAAAAAATGATATTTAATTTTTTTATAGTTATATTTTGTTTTTTATTCTTGTTACAAAAAAAAAAACTATTTAGACTTTGTTGTGGGAAATGCCACGTAGCATACATTTACACTCGTGTGACGTCACGTCTAGGCTTCCAAAAGTCTCGTGCGGTTTGCTTTCCATTTGCAAGAAATTCTAAAATATGGAAAACCTTTTGATTCAAGAAGCAACAAATTAAGATTTGTTCCGAAATTTGGTATTTCGCTATGGTTTTTCCACTTTGTATGACCACGCATAACGTAAACATAACACACGGTTTTTAATATCATGTTATGTGTGTCAAATGTCAAGAACATTTCCTTAATTGGAAAGTAATTTATTCTCACGTCAGTACTGATAAAGGGAATTCCATAATTGTATCTTGTAAAAATGAATGCACTTGTTCTCTCTTGGGTATATAAATTCGTGCTTTCGTGTGTCCAGTTTGTCTTTCATTTCTACAGATTCTAAGGTGCAGGTCTCTCATCTAATATGAAGGTAAGTAAGATTTTTATAATATTATATTTATAGTATATGTAAAATAAAATACAGTTTTCATTTTATTATTATTATATATTACCTTTCATTTTAGAACAAGTACTGTTTATTTACAATGTTAAAGAAATTAAAATATCAAATATAATGTAATTTAGACATAAAAAAAAATGAGAAGGAGTTATTCGTTAAAAAAAGATGAAAGTGTAACTTTTGTTTTCATTTATAGGTAGGAGGACATTGTCACTGGGTCTTAATGACATAATGATAAACGTCCTCTTTAAGAAGAGATTATTAAAATTGTAATTAAAGAAAAAGTATAAAATACATTTTTTTAAAATCTAAAAATATGTGTTTTGAAATCTCACAGTTATTTTTTTTTTGTTCTTTACGATATAAAACTTTAGTATTTGTAATCTTTTTTTCAGAATCAGAAATACACAAGCTCTGTACAGCTTTTGACAGACATTATTAGTAAAACATACACATACATATACATAATATACATTAGTGATAGTCAATCACATATAAGATAGTAAAAATTACAATAGCATGCAGCACAATAGACATAATTTACACACAAAGATACAGACATATCATATATCATGCATTTACATACGACAAGATATAGAACTATACACGAATGAACTAGCAAGAATAGCACTTATAATGTCTTAAAAGGATAACCTATAATATAGTTTTGTTATATTAAAATTAGATAGGATCGCACTTTAACGGAATAAAAATGGTATATTATAATGATAAATTTATCATTTACTTATCAATTTATTTATCAGTTTATTTATTAAAATGAACAAGCATACTAAACCTTAAAAAAAAGATGTTTGAAAAATTTGAATACAAAAAATGAAAAGTAACTGAATTTTGAATACAAAGATTTAAGATCTAAGATCTGCAGGAGCCACACTTATAGGAGTCTCAATTCCACTTATTTATTTACTTTTGAACTGATTGAATGTTGTTACATTTCTAATGTCTTCTGGAAGTTCATTCCAGAGTTTGGCTCCTGCATTTTTTTAAAAAAAGTGTAAGCTATGTTTAGTTGTTATTACCCTTGGCACCTCTACTGTGTTGCTTTTCCTAAAATTATATGATGTTTCTTTAATAGTGAATAAATCAAGCAGATAAGCTGGGCTTTCTTTTTTTTAATTTTAAAATCTTCTAATATCACACAGCACGATTTAAACAAAAACACTCTTGTAATATTTTAATTTTTTATGACATTTTAAAGAGCGAAAAAAAAAATTACTCTCTCCTGTATAATCTTAAAATGAACGTATTTTGAGACGGTCCCATAAAATATTTATACGACAGCTTTTTTCCGAAACTTTGAATGCTCTCTGATTTCAATGTAGTTTACAAATGATATTAAAATTAAGATTTTTTTGTATTGTAATGCTTGGACAACTAAGTACAATTGCACAATCAAAAGTACTTAGATGTTACCAATTTTGCAAGGCAAAGTTTCAGTTGATATAAAATGATGAAGGATAATATTTTTATTTATATCTTACGTTTGTAGATTACCGTTTACTTCACTCTTACAACTCTGGTGTCATTTATTCACGCCCAAAAATGGTCTGTGGATCTTGGACTGGGAGCTGGAAATAAAGGACCGGATCTGAAACTGACCCTCGGACGAAAATTTGGAAACTGGAATGTCAAAGTATTTGGCTCTACAGACTTTTCCGGGGGTTGGAAAGTCGGGGCAGGCATAGGATTTAGGTTCAGAAGGTCAAGTGTTGAAGTAAGTACACGTATTTTTAAATAGGCCGGTTTAGAGTAGTGAAGCGAAACATTTGTTACATAATCTATATTGAAATCTTTAAAGCTGATAACATTGCATTACAGGTTAATAAACAGGATTTGTCTCACATTTTAACTAGAAATTGTAGAAGCAAGGATGCAGTATATAAGCTTTTCAAATAACGAAACGTTTTGATACCATTCACAACAATTAATAAAATTTGATCACAATGAAATTTGTGCACCAGTTTATTTTTCATAACTCTATTACTTCAAGTTTCATCTTTTATGCTTACGTGTCCGATCATACAGTGAGACAAAATAGATCATGTAGCATTTGTTATGAGGTATAAAGCTAGAAAATATAATTAGTTGTAAAACATGTGCCTTAGATTGTAAGTCTCTTGTAACTTTATCGTATCATATAAATTATCTTATTTAGTGTGCTCAAAATCTTTGGGAAAAAGATAATATCTGTATATTTTTTCATTAACGCATCGAAATTTAGATTGTTTTGCAATTTTTTTTTCCTAAAAAGATTCCTCGAAGATATGACCTCGTTATTCTTGCCAACCCTTGTCGCTTCCATGTTTATGACAGTAATGATGATGACGTCATCACGTTGAAAGAAATGACTGGTATTTTTGAAAACCCGGAACTCGGCACTCAATTATTCAAAGATCTAGATGTCAATAAAGGTATTTATTCGTTCATTTTGTTCTAATAAAAAAAACATGTTTGTGAAATGTTTTTTCACATGGTTGGTTGTAATTATTTTTACACTTATGAACATGAATATGCATGACATGATATTTGAATTATAGGCCTATTAATGACAGTAAATTATGAATAAAATTAATTAAATATACAGGCAAAATGTATGAAAATATTCTTGTTTAGCTGTTGTTTTCTATTCAGGCGGTATAATTTTTTCTTTCTTTTTAGACGGTCGAGTTTCAAAATATGAATTTTCTCAACGAGTTCCATTCGTAGTTAATGAGTGTTCGTATAACCAAAGAATCGCCAGAAAATCATAGCCTCGTTAAGAATAGGGAAATGAATGGACAAATCATGTGAATTTTCAGAATACTGACGTCACTTACAGCATAGTCGCAATTTTGTTATTTTATGTTCACTTCGTAAAATAAAATTTGTATCGAATATGCAACTTTTTTATGTTTGTGCTGTTTCGTAATGAATGTAGATAGACACAGTTCTTCAGGATAATATTGTCTTTTAGCAATGATCTTTTTTCAATTGTCACAGAATGCGTCTTTAATTATTAGAGTTTTTTTTTTTACTCATTCATAATATAAGATTGATTCATGAAAGGCTACACATTTATAGATCAAAGTTATGAGTAGCCTTGCAAAATATAAACCTATTAAATGCTCTTTGAATTGTTTTGGCAATTATTTTGAATGTATATACTTTTTACATTACATTTTGTTAAATTTGTTTATTGCCAATATGTAAGTAAGCGACATTATATTACTCTTTAAAACCGAAATAACCTAGGAGAATTTTCTTTATCTTTCTGATCATCTGCATCTTTCAAAGGTTTTCTATTAAAAAATCAACGAGGAATTTAAAAAAAGTACTAAATTTTCTTTAAATCCTCTAAGTTTTCACCCAAACCATTAGGTAAGCGAGAGATTTCTAAGTATTCAGTAATTGAATTCGAGATTCATCAATTGAATGTCACAGATAACAAAAAATTATTTGCACCACAAACTTGAATGAAATGAAGTTATACAAAATCTTTTGGGATCCTTAATCATTTAATTGAATTTCCATGAATATTAATGTAATTATAGGTATGGCGGAAATGGCATTACAGTAAAATTTTGACGAAATGATCATCGCAAAGATAGAAGCTTATACTGTATGTTTCACGTTGACAAAATAAACATAATGGAAACCAACCTTTATCTGCAACAATTTTATTTGCGATTTGTCAGTTTAACCCCCCCCCCCCCCCCCAGATAACTATTGATTTTCAATTTCGCAGCTGAGGAAATGTTCTTCATAAATTATACCCTATCAAAATAATGCTTTACAAAGGAATAATATCGAGAATATTGAAGGAGGAATAAATATTAATTTGTATAAATTTATTTGCCCTTGTTCTCAAGAGAAATTGGATGAATCATCTTTCAATAGGTTACTGATATATATCAAGCTAAATCATTTTCTACAGTATTGTTATTGATACCATAGTTTAAATCGCCTATCTATCCATAAATATATCAAATAAGATTTGATAAAGACAAGAATGTCATCATAGAGAAATTGTTGATATATCAAGAAGGTATTCAATTATCAAATACAGGTACGTACCATACACCTTAAAACTGTATTTATTTTCCATATCAGTGAAATAGTTAGTCATTGATACTCATTTGGAAACGTTACGAAAATAACAAAGGCGTTTTAAAGTTCATTGTTAAATGTTATAAATTGGTCACCATGACTTTCTTTGTTTTAAAGAATTTTTTTTGGAAATTACAAATTTAATGTCTAATAATGATTCTTTTTTAGTGTCCTGGAAGTTATAATTTCCACGAAATGTACCAGCATAGGAAATCGTAAAATGTTGAAGACATTGAATTTAAGACGTTTACAGTATCATCTTATTTGTGATGAATTTCTGTAAAATTGTTCATAGGCAGTATGGAGTTGTTTTATTAACTATCTAAAGTTTTCGTTGAGTTTAAGTAATGATATGCATAGTGCAGTAAGGTGAGCAATAGAAATATCAAAATTTTTGTGAAAGTACATTTTATTTATTAGGACGAGTGTTTCTTTTTAAAACATTACTTCTGTCGGACAAAAATAATATGGATAAAAATTTCATATTTTGAACAATGACTTTTCGAATTATAAGTTTACGTGTGAAAGCAAATAATGATCCATTGAATGAATGCCCTTTCAATAGATCGATTTATTAAGAATGATCCATATACGTTCAGTAGAATATACGGCGAAATCACTTTAACCAGTTGTGTGCTAGGTAATGTAGAAAACAGCTGTCCCAGAGCAGTCAAATAGCGTCCGAGCAGTCCCAGTAGTCCCAGTAGGCAAGAATAATAATTTTATGGGCGGGGCTTAGTCATAACTGAGATTACACAGTGTATCAACGAATAATGTCAGTAATATAAAGGTAGTTGAAATTAATGGTATACTTCTTTTTTAGGAGAAAAAGTGTTATTCACAATTCACATATTCACAATTCCTATGTGACAATTATTTCTGAATAATTTACAAAATTACAGTATATATATATATATATATATATATATATATATATATATATATATATATATATATATATATATATATATATATATATATATATATATATATATATATATATATATATATATATATATATAAAGCACTACAAAAAACTAACAACACTCTATATCTTAAGTGTCGGATCTACTAAATAGATACAAGGTCAAGGATGGAAATTTATATAAAGCACAAAAAATGAACAACGACACGAACAATAGAAATTGTCAAATTTTCGGGACGCCCTGTTCCATCCTCAGGACATAGAAAAAAGTTAAGAAATCATAAAAAGAAAGGAAATAGAAAAATAAAAAACAACTACAGTACCAACCAGACCCAACCTGACACAAAGCAGTCCCAGAGCAGTCCCGGGGATTGCTTTCTGGGACTGCTAAAGCAGTCCCACAGCGGTCCTAGAGCAGTCCCACAGCAGTCCCAGGGCAGTCCCACAGCGGTCCCAGCAGTCCCAGTGGGCGGGGTTAATTAATTTAATGGACGGAGCTTACTCAGAAATGAGATTACCAATAAACAATGTAACAAGAAAAGGCAGTTGAAATTGATGATGCATTTCTTTCTGAGTAGTATCCACAAATATTTACAATTCTTACGCGACAGTCATTTCTGAACTGTTAAGAAAATCACAGTACGCATAAAGAAACAAATTGAAATTATTGAACGAAGAAGACGTTCACTCCTATTAATAACATAAATATTTAAACACAATTATGTGGTATTTTAATTTTTTACCAAAATGAATCAATTTCTTTTTTCTTCTGTGATTGATATTGGTTTCCATATAACATTCAGTTTTAAGCGTTTTATTATATAAACGTTCGAGTGTACATCTGTAAATCACGCCAATGGAACCCTCAGATTGTGTTCGAAATCAATTAATCCCGAAATAAATTTATTGAAGCAAAGATTTTTTGCAGTACATAGATTGAAATTAGTGTCATTGTTGACCAGCATGTTCAGTGATGTGTAACTTTCTGCTAATCATGTCCAATTGATTGAAACCTCAATGTGTTGACACCATTTTATACAATTGTATTGCTTTTTATTAATCGTCCCGGTAAACACAACAAAACATCTAAGATATTTTCAAATGTTTATTTCTTAAATAACTGTACTCTTTTAATAACTTGTTTATAAATTAAAAACTAATTCATAAATAAATCCCCCAATAATTATTCACATTGTTTATGTGACGTAAGAATGGTAGAATAATTTTATTTCATGATCATTTAATAAATTTTAGGTTTTATATTAGGGCGGTAAAATAATAGCATAGAATACTCTTTTTAGCATGGTATTAGCTTTTTCAATTAAGAAAAAAACCCAGAACAGTACCTCCCTCTGAATATCTTACTAAAAAGTTTGTTTGATTTTTGGTTTTTTTTTAAAGAGTGGTAATACAATTTCCACGTGTCGGTATTTTTTTTAACAAATATGCCGTAGGCAACAGAAAATTCTCGTATCCCTCACTCATCACAAAACCGGATGACATACAGTAAAACACTTTTATAGCAAACACGCTCATAATGAACTGACGCTTACAGAGAAATGATCTGCATTCCCGATGACTTTAAAATATATTGTTAACTTAAAGGATATTTAAGAAATAAACAACAATGTTAAAAAGTTCTCTGGGAAATGAACTTGGTTGGTCACGTGATCAAATCCTGTGAAGCCCGAAGGGCTTCTCAGAAGATTTGATCACGTACCAACCAAGTTCATTTCCCAGTGAACTTTTTAACATTGTTGTTTATTACTTTTATTTACATTTGAGACGGAATATTCTGAGTAGAACTGCATTTATTACACAAACGGCCCGCCGTATTGCTATGTTGTGACGCGCAATGACCTAGAAGCTGTTTGTTCTTCAGAGTTCGCCTCGCTCCAACATTTGAATATTTACATGGATGTTAAGCCGTCCAGTTCATGAAATAACTGTTCGTAATGAAAAAACAATGATCGCTACTGAGAATAATCTTACTATTATTGTATGAGTTCTTTATATATGAAGTCAAAAGCGGTGGTATATCGTCTTCAGTTTACATACCTTCAAAGGAATTTCGGGTTAAAAAGGTAAGCGTGATTTTAGGCTAATTATAAACATTCTTCACACCCAAGAAAGATATAATTATCATTTGTTGAACAAAAAAAATATATGTTTCAATAATTTCATCTTTTTCATCGCTTTAACGGCTCAGAAGTTCCGAAACAGTGTCACTGTGACAGAAATATGTAGACAAGATATCGTCTTGCTGTGTGATTCGGTCACGCCATGACCTCTGACCCCCTAATAAGTTCATACAGAATTGAACATATTTCCTCTTCAATAGGTTCATCTAAGAAAAATATTTGCAAATGTAAATAAAATGAATTACGCTTATAAGCATATCGTTCATCCCTTGTACTTTGTTATAAGTGTATTTTCCATCTATCGTCCATCTTTCTCTTACATTATAAATGTATTTATACTTAGTGCTGACTCCATCCGTAACAACAAATCTAGAGGACATGTACCATGTAAGTCCTTATTCTATTCGTCTGTTTTCTTCACAGCAAAGATTTTAGGCATATACTGTTCCATTTATCCGGTTTCTCCCTCAAAAAACTGTAGTACATAAATCATGCCCATCGATTCATCTGTTTTATGGCGGATGTGACCGTTCGGCAGTGGATCCTCACTCCTCTATGGCACCTGATCCCTTCTTGAGTTGAAGACTTTTCGTTATCTCCATATAGTTCATGGAAATATAACACCAGAAAATCTTGCTTAACTCTTATATGTCTCTTAAAGTAAATGTCTTCAAGTGAAAACTTTCTGGGTCTTTACTTTGTAAGGAGGGTGTTGTACGATTCTAGAGCAAAAGCATTTGTATAAAATCTCAAGTTTCAATAGAAAACAGCTAAAGGAAGTTTCGTCCGAGTTATTGTTACACGGTGCTTAATGTTTAAATAAAGGACTTCAAATTTGACAAAATGTTTCTTAAGAATGAAAGATTTAGTGATGATTTTAAAGGAGACAGTAAAGTCTATTGAAAAGCAATGTATCAATATTTTTATTATTGAAGCATTAGAATTTACATATGTGGATATCAAACACAGCTTGTGTAATTTCTTTCACGTAACACGGAACATGAAACATCATTAAATTATTGATGTTTATATTTAACAACCCAAAGGTGACAAACCTCTATCACGCAAAACATATAATTGTCCCAAAATAAAACTATGGATTTTTTATTTAAAAAAAAAAGAAGGAAAATCCATTGAAGCACTGGGTATAAAGCAAGACTATACTGTATGATATTCATTTCAGCCAATAACGTTGGGAAATGGTAAGTCTTTGTTGTGAACTATTCATTATACTTACATGCATCTGTCCATAACTTTTTTTCTTATTTTTTTGTTGAAGAGTACATGTAATGAAGAAGTCTAATATATAAATTTAATTGCACTTTCATAATATTAAATCAATTCTCAAGAAATAAGTGGCTGAATTTTAGAATCAATGTTTGTTTCAACTTAATGCAGTTAATGTATAGTTATAACGCCTATGTTTTTTTTTTAATTTCTGTGTTCTTCTTTTGAATACAAACTGCATGGGTTATCTTTAATAGATTATTACAATATCACTTACCTTATTCTTTTCTCTTTTACTTCTTGCCGCCTTTATCAACTCATAGTTCTTGAAATATTTGTTTTCTTTAAATCAAATATTTAAAATTTCATTTCATCTTTCTTGCTTTTTTGAATCGAACTTGTTAAATAATCAGACACATTCTACATGTATCTGTTGAAAACCACATGCGAAATTTACATACACAATGCAGACGTAATTTACATAAGATACCTTTGTGCTTTGACTGACACATGTTTAATTAAAAAGTTTATAACCAATAGTACAGAAAAAAAATCCGGACCGCTATGAAATACGCCCTGTCCGTGGGTGTACTCCGGTGAAGTGCAATTTAATTAAACGAGTTATTATCGCTAATTATAATTATATGTACCAAAAAGTAGTAAATCCTACACTGTCTTTTTCTCTAAAACAAAACGTAACTATATATGATAAAATGAAACCAAGGAAAGATAATATAGGAGGGAAATTTTTAAATATGAATTTAGATCTATTATAAATTTGGAAATGTTTTAGGACTGTTTATCGGATCAAAGAAATAATAAATAAAAATGTAAATAATAAATATGTGTGTGGGTTGTTCCAGAATTGACAATGCGAATTAACTGTAAAGTTTACACTATATGGAGAGAATGATATTGTTTGTTACAATCAGGAATTGGATCTAGTTCACGTTCATCGTGGTGAAGTCATTTAGTTTGTTAATACCATTAAGGAGGAATGTTTTCAGTCCGTGAATCCAGAACTTCTTGCTTTTTCTCTGAGCGTCTGTCTATCTTGGATTATGGTCAATAACCATTACTGTCGTCCTTCCATTGTGACCTTTAAGGTTGAGATGTTCTCCAATGGGTCCTTTTTAATCCTTTATCATTAGTTTGATTATGTTTACATATAAGAGCTCGCTTCTCCAATACAAATTTCTTTAAATTCTAGGTCATCATTCATTGGATGTTGCTTCTGCTTGCATTGCTAACATTACTGGAAGCACAAACTCCAAAACACCAAAACCTAAATTTAACATACCAGAGAGTCCGAAAATACCCCAAACTCAGATAAACCTTCCAAATACACTGATTAGCGTAGATGTAGGATTCGAAGACAAAAAACCAAAAGGAATTATTAAATTCCAAAAAAAAAAAAAAAAAAAATCCAGATGTAGTAGCTTGGACAGCTTCAGATTTTAAAGATAAAGTGAAAGGTGGTGTAGTTTTAAATCACCAAGGATGGATTTTATAACCAAGGGATTAATAGGTACTGGTGGGTGTTGGGGTGCTAGTGTCGGTGTGAAGAGAGGAAAAGTGGATCTCTCAGTGTTCGGTACGAATACTGGCAAGAATCCTTCAACGTTTGGTACGAATACTGGCAAAGGCACTGTAATTGGAGCCAAGGCAAAATTCACGATTGGAGGGTCAAACAAAGGGGGAAGAAGACAAGGACGAGGATTTTGGGGAGGACGGAGAGGAGGAAGCTGGCGAGGACTTGGGGGAGCTGGACCAGTAGGAGGAGGTGGGACAGGAGGCGGGTTTGGAGGCGGAGGCGGAGGTGGAGATAGAGTGGAAACAGAGACTCTTCAGGTTAAGAGTTTATTTCAAGATTTTTCCCCCTTTTAAAAAAAGAACATTAGACCATCTTTAAAATAATGTTTGTTTGCCCTCTCCCGACTCAGGGTAAAAACATTGGGTCGGTAGGTAGTACATGTAGGTGGTAAAATCTTTTTCCAGATAATTTCAACATATTTGTTGAAGAGGAATAAAAAGAAAACAATATCGTGTCCTGGAATGTAAAAAAAAAAAAAAAAAAAAAAAAAAATGAGTCGGGCCATTTTTAGTCAGTCGGTCGATAGAGGGTACCCAAACAATTTTTTTTAAAGATGGCCTGAAATATTTTGATAGGATTTTGATGATATGAATTTTAATATCGATAACATGTAAACAAATGTATTTCTAGTATTTATTTTTCTTGATACCTTATTGCCTGACGCCACGTGCGTCAGGCAGTATTATATAAATACTGCATGTAGTTGAGTGTAACATTGAAAATTTTCACCCCAAGAAAACCATTGTCAACCGAGGCGCAGCCGAGGTTGACAATGGTTTTCGAGGGGTGAAAATTTTCAATGTTACACTCAACTACATGCAGTATTTATTATATTATACTGAATGTTTTATACAAATACATATTACAGTGAACCTTGCGCGCATGAATTCTGCGCAGTCAATATTTTTTGGAATAACACCCGTCGTCAAGCAATGTTAACTGTTGCTACGCTGGCGGGCGTGGCTTCATTATTCAGCGGGTAATAGTGTTTTTTAACAAATGTTTCTCGACGAATCAGATTAAACTAATTTACATGAAAGTATAATATAAGGATTAATATTTCAGGGATTCGAAACTAAGCGATCATTCTTAATGAGCTAGATTTTGTGCAAGCTGATTTACATCGGAATTTGTTACCTGCATTTAAACTAATACAGTTTGCAGAAGAAAAAATCATATAACTGATGTAAAATAATGATGTGTTTAATTCCTTCAATTTTTTTTTGCATGCACATGTTTATTCTTTGCGATTCTTTGTACGAACATGTCCGTGTAACATTTTTTCTGCGTTTCTAAACTACTGGATCAGTCCATTTGCCTTCTACGAAAGGGGTGACACAATCATTTCGCGCCAAGTGTCACATGTAAATTATCTTCGCGCCTTTTTCTTGGGTTGTTCTATTAAATGGGTATGATGACTGACTTCTATACAAATAAATAAAGTTTATTCTTAAGCTCCAGATTTTTTATTAACAGTAAATTTTATCTCATTTTTTTAAGAGAACACATTTTATATGGACAGGCAACACTTAAGCAATGGATCTGCTGATTATTCTTACTATTTATTCCATAAGTGGACTAGTCTAATCATAAGCAAACTCCCTCCACCCAGTAAATGGGACATCCCTTCTTGATTCTGTTTTCCACCCAACCTTTCTTTCAACATTACATCTATTAATAATGTACGTTACAAGGTAAGGGTTTTTTTTTTAAAAAGCTTAGAAAGTCAGCGAGTAGCATATTATTTGATGCTTTGTGATGAACAAGGGTTTCCTTTTAATACAGTGACAAGAGTGTAGGTCAGTACCCGTAGAGGAATGGGCTTCACTCCCGTTAGGTTCTAAGTAAAGAATCGGCAAAATGAAGAAGACATCATGATCTGTACTGGTTTTCATTTCATAAAAAAGCACGTTATTTTAATTATGAGAAAGGTCCTGAAATCGATTGAAAAGAAAAACTAACAATTTCAAAACTGTTAATTAAGATGTATTTTAAGCTCATTTATAATACATGTACTTGTATATGGTACATGTAAGACCATCATCTCGTGATTTTTGTCCGGGAGAGGAGGGGGGGGGGTGTTATTAGTATCTTGTTTTGCGCTAGCTATAAAATGTACAAGTCATTTACTTTGATTTCTAGAGTAGGATTGAAGCATTTTTGTCTCAAACACTTCAAGACAACTTTCCCAGTAAGAACTGTTCATAATTTACTTCGTCGTCGAGAACGACGGAAAACAGACCAGTCTATAAATAGAGGCCGTCTCATCAATCTATCACTGACCATTAAGAAGTGCGCCCTCAAGTAAGAGAGTACATGTAATATGAATTTCTTTAAAACGAATCATCTAACTATTTTCCTAGAATTATCAGTGGCGGAGTAGAAGGCAGGGGGTCTGGGGGCTATATTGAAACCCCAGTGGGTCCAGAGCAAAGCCCTGATGGGGGTTCGGAGGCTGACGAATTCTTACAAATAAGAGGTGTTTTTTCCTTGATTTTAGGATAATGAACATAATAGTTCTTCATACAAAAAATTCAACCGCAAGCGCGCATCATGGAAAATATGCCAGCAGAACTATTGCTATTCATAATGCCATGTTCACTGAATAATCGTTGTTTATTACTTATATTTGCATTATGTGTTGTTGTCAAAAATATCAGAGGAACGGCTGCTTGTCTCCAGTAAAGAAAGAAAACATGACAATAAAATGCGTAGACCTGATTAATCAACCCTTTCTAAATAAATTACAAATTATATATATGGTATTTGATTCTCAACCACAGTTATCTGGATACACACCGCGTCGTCTTCAAATTCTCGTAATTTTCTTTGTTTTGATGCAGTTGTGACGTCATTGAAACCCTCTGAGAAAAATTAACAATTTAACCGTATAATGAAAAAAGAGAATGCTTTTATATTAATTTTAACTTAAGAATGTTTTTTCTATGTTCTTGAGTTCTTAAAATTTATTTTATGGGCTGAAATCGTTCTAAAAATAGATGTACTATTACAGAAATTTCGTGAAACGTGAAACACCCTAGTGTGAAGAGTTATCCTTCTTTGCAAAAATATGTGTAAATATGAACAGAAAAAATAAAGATATAGCAGTTCTTTTCAATTTGTAAAAAAGTTTTATTATACAATAAAATACATTGACCAAAATTTATTTTTTAAAGATATAAATCAACAATTTTAATCATTTTGAATTTTTTTTTTCATGAGAATATTATTAAAAACTAATATTTATTCCTTTTGTAGAACATTTGGTATATATACTTCTGAACGCATTGTATTAGTGTATTAGGTTGTACTGTGCGAGTGTGAGAAACGAACTTGCACTCATAGTAGAACAAGTTGCGTCTATAGTCCTATGAACGCAACTGTTGAGTGCAGGTTCATAGTGAGAGGAAGCAGAGAGAATGCAATATAATGGAATAAGCAAAATATTTGCAATCTGTAGCATTACAAATGGGTGAAGATTATGTATTAACTTTTGAAGATGATGAGCAGTAATTTTAGGTTCAAAAGTAAAGAATTGATTTATGACTAAAAGTTCAGAGTTACAGGCATAAGGATGTGTTGCCCAGACCATTCAAACTTTGTTAAGAGTACAGCAAGGCCCTGTGTGATCAAGAATTATGAGCTTTTTTAACAATTAAAGACGTCTGATATGTATAATTTCTGAGATTGATAACTATTTTGTTATCTCACCCTTTTACATTTATGTATTACTTGTCTGTCACTATTTGGGTATTTATCGTATAATGAACAGGCATGTGTACGCTGCATCAGCTGCGAGACAAAGGCACCACATGCAGGTGACAATTTTATATGACAGTATTAATATTTATGCCGTTAGGTAATACAATATTTTTTATTATTAATATGCTTGTGATGATTTACATGTGTATGTACAGTTAAACCTCGGTATCCCTAGCATTTTATCTTAAGTTCCATGGATATGTCGATCAATATTTATATAATAGTGTTGTACTTTGCATACACTATGCCTAAATAGTAGTCAGGGTTTGATACATGGTGCACGAGCAGGAGGCGAGTGCACTATGTGTCAAATCCTGACTACTATTTAGGCATAGCGCATGCAAAGTACAACACTATTGATATTATTATGCTGACTGTTGTATAAAAGGACGATATTTTCTCCATTTTCAATGTTTCATCACCTCCTACATTCAAGATAGTACACCCCTATTATGACGTCACGTTTTGCTACATGTACGTCATATTCTTTTTTCTTTAATTATGAATGTTCCTTGCATAGATAGTTTCAGAGAATTTTAGTTGAGTGAAGGGGGAAAAATTGCAAGAAACTATTTTAGAAAAATTATTTTGTTTCTTTTCTCTATATGTAAAGTATTTGAAACTAAGTTTATATATATATTATAATACAGTGCTTTAGGTAACGGCGTCTGTGGCGAAATCGGTAGCGTGTCGGACCGACAATCTCAGGGTCGTGAGTTCGATCCCCGCCGTGGGCAATGTCGGATTTTCTTCAGAAAAAGAAGCCGTGCACTATTTCGGTATAGTATGCTTACGCTATACAAATCCTTAGAACACTGTGCGAAAATAGTTGGGTATTGATTATATAGAGACAAACTGACAGGAAGCATAATAATATAAAGTGTTACTGTATGCTCCCTTGAATGCTTCTGAGGGACACTTATTGAAATGATTACCGTATTTCTGAAAAATTGGGGGAAAATCCAAGCTTCATAACAAAAGGAAAAGGATAAATTAGAGATTATCATTTAATTGTATGGAAATAGAAAAATATTTTCTCCGTGTTGTTCATCTGTCATCTAGACTGGAATGAATAAATCAGAAGATTTTTTGGGCATCTTGATTAAAAACTTACGATCTGGGTGCAATAATCTATCAGCTACTTAAAAAAAAGTTAGAAAAGAGAATTTCTAGGCACAATAATGTTTATGGTATGATATTACCGTGATAAATGAGATTAAAAAGAATAAACTTTAACCGATCTAGTAAAATTTACTAAGTTAATTTCGAAGATTCAACTGGTCGTAAAAGTTTCTAAAGAACAAAGGATGAGTGTGGATTTTGAACCTGGTTAAAATCGAAAATGTATTAATAGTGTTATAGATTTGTTTTCTTTTGCCAAAACCTCTTATAAATATTTTAATAAGAGAAACAGTTATATAATATGATACGTTGTTTTTAAAAATGCAGTTCATAAATCTTTTTATACGTTGCTTTAAAATGAGTTATGATGTGTGTGAAAAACAACCCGAAGGTATCAATCCCTCATCATGTAATAAAATAAAAAAAGTTTTTTTTTTCATTTATCATTGCTTTTTAAAACTGGTGGAAATGGATATCTATTTAAACAATCACATATATAGTAAGACTTCACTATATAAAATCTATTTCAGGCATTATCATCGCGACATGGTAAGTATTCTTTATAAAAATATCCTTGATCACAATTCAATATCTTTTTCAAAAGCATATAAGGTCCATTGACCTTTTTATGATTGTTATGTCATTATTTTACACTCACTAAGAATAAGGATTGCTCTAATTGGAATTCGGTTGGGATGACCAGTAAACTTTCGTTAACTTACGCGCTCTTACATCTCGTGTTACCTGAGGCTCGTGTACTTGCCTTATTCCTATTTAATTTTATTTACAAGATCTTCGAATTTGATCAAAGTTTGTCATTTTTTCCCCTTTCAAGTTAGTAAACGGGTTTTCATACGCAATTATGCATGTAGATTTATTGCAGAATGATCTGAAATGAGCTGAATTTCATGATGATCTTTAGGGATTGTTTTGCGTATAAGACTGGGTTGTCTTAACAATGAAAAGTTTAAAATAACATATGTAACAGTGATCGATCTCAAACCCTTAAACAATAGGAATATTTGAAAAGGGCATAAACATGACCCCTTGGAAATTCCAGAGGCAGAATCAGGTGCCTAACTTATAGGAGAAATAAGACCCTGTCGGCCGGTCACGACCACCGTGAGCCCCATGTATTGATCAAGTAGATAGAACATTTTTTAGTGAAATTCAGTATAAAAACAAAGACCTAACAATTGGTATGAAACAAGTCAGCCGAAATATGACCAATAGGTTATATTTGTTAACAAGGTCATTATAGCGACCATAGAATGTTTAAATCCCTGAAAAATTAACTTGTCTTTCGATAACCCACCTTGGTTTAAAACATCGTTCTCGAATCTTGCTCTTGAGGACATGTATTTTTTTTTTCTTTTAAAAATGATACTGATTTTACTGAAAGGAAACGATAAAAATGTTTAAAAAATTTCAAACAAAAATAGGGGAAAATAATATTTAAAATGAGTCAATTAATGTAATAAAAATAAGCCAATGAATGTATAAAATGGATATTAGTTACAAAGTAACCTTTAAATGAAAATCGTTCTATAAAAGAAATGGGATATTTAAAATAGCTGAATAGATAATTGAAGTTCAAAACGTTTGCAAAAGCATTTTTTTAAAACTTAAAGTGATTATTAAAACCATAGTTTTATTTAAAAGAAAACATTTCCGAAAAAATAATTTCTTTTTTTCATTTTAGGTAAAAATTAACTTGATTTGCTTTTGTTCGTATCAATGACACTGGTGGGAGCTCAAAGTCCGAAGAGACCACATACCCAGTTAAATCTACCACCGATTGGTCTAGGTGCAGCGCGTGGTGATAATGGACCGGAGGGAATCATTAAAGTTCAGGACAAAAATTCACCTTTAACAGCTTGGGGGTCTTCAAATTTCCGTGGAAAATGGGGAGGTGGTCTAGGTGTAAAGACACCAAAATGGGATTTCACAGGACAGGGATCAGTAAATACTGGTGGACGCTGGGACGCTAGAGTTGGTGCAAGAAGAGGCAATTGGGATTTTTCAGGGTACGGTAGAAATGCTGGAAGAGGTCTTGAAGTTGGTGGCGGCATCATATATAGGTTTGGAGGGTCAAACAGAAGAAGGGGAGGATGAGGTGGAAGAGGTGGAAGAGGCGGAAGACTCAATTTTCAAGTAAAGACTTTTATTTTTTAAGATTCTTTTCTAACTTTTTAGAAAAATGAATATCAAGTGTTGTTATAAGATCCACTCATGAAAAGGGGGTTTTAATTTCCGTTACAATACATTACACGTGTTCTTTTCATTTGCAGACAGAGAACTTAATAATGCGTTACAGTCATAATTTAATCATTTAGAAACGTGTCTTGCAGGCTAGAGAGTATTATGTAATTGCAAATTTAAAATGCTACTCGTGCATAGCTACGTGTCCTTCGTAAACTAACTAAATATGTTTTGAATACTTTTGACATAAACAAACATGAATGAAAAAATCCAATACATGTACATATGCATAATTTTTACGCAAGTTTATCTTATTTTTTTTTTTCTCATAAATCACTATTTTTGTTTTACAAGAAAATGATACTGAAAAATTCCAGTAAAATAAAAGATAACTTCATTGGTATAATTTAAATAATAAAATCACATTTCATATTAGTAAAATCCCCTGTCTATAGATATTTAATTGCCAATCTCGTCTTCCAAAAGTTACATTCCTAACCATAACACGCATTAGACATATTACATGTATATGCATTCATAGTGTTTTCTGAATCCATTAATTTTCTCTCTTTTTTTGCTTTTGCTTTAGGAGATGATGGAGCAAATACCTCAAGAATAGGGCTCCTTTTAAAGCTATACAAATTGACGTCATTAAATAAAGCATCGTTATATGCAATACGCACAGAATGTCATAATGTATCCAAAACCATTTAGAAGGAAGATGAAAAGCCCTATGTAAGTTGTCAAAAGAAATTATCAATCTGTTAATAAATGATTTCAGCTTTCATCTCATTTTTCTTGCACTATGAAAAGAAGAATAATTTATAAAGTGCAAGTACAATTTACATGTGCATCTCCATGAATGAAATTATGCGGATGTCCATTTAAGATTTATAAAAAAAGCTGTGACATTTATGTACATTATTATATTTTTTTAATCTTTACAAACTAAGGATCTGTAGAAGAAAATAACCATAACGTGTTTGTTTTTTGCAAGTGGTAATCCTAAATACCAACACATTCCATTGATTGAAATAACTTCCTTTCAATTTCTTTTCAAAATGCAAAGCACGGTTATTTTGATATCGAAGTCACGTGATGTTAAGATTATACAAAAAAATCACCTTTATCTCGACCTCCCTCCCTTCAGCTTTTATTTGTTGAACAATCCACACAAAGAATTGGGTGTGATTTACTTTGCCACTAGTGTGTCTTTGATAATTAATAGATAATTGTACATGTAATTTTAGCTAAGTACCTAACAAATTATTTTTAAATAAGAGAAATCATTGATTTTTTTTTATTATGGTCATATGCATAAAAAGAAAATTAATCAACAATATGAAGAGCTAATATTGAGTACTTAAGTGACGTAATAAATTGCATATATTTGCCGTCCTACCCTTGCACAGGAGATGGTCCGAAACCAGAAATTCCATTAAATCGGTTTCGACATTGCAGAAAAATATATACATGTAACCCGCATAAGCTACTTTTGTGACTTTTAATTTCTGCATCGGTAGTAACCCTTAGGACTCCTTATAAACAAAGAATGGCGTTTCGTTGTCTATTTGTATAAAGTGGACAAAAATAATTCAAATATTGTAGTATTGGTCAATAACGTACATTGGTGGCATAACACACTTCCAAAGAAACATTTTATACAGATCTAGAGAGCTTTAAAAACGGTTCTTATTAGTTCAGATATAATCAATTTATAAGTGAAATCAGCTTTCATGAGAAATAAAAGAGAAAGTTTTAGTGAATGTAAATATTATCTATTGTTATATTTAGTAATGAATAGTCTCTATTTTCTCTATGTAGAGAAACAGTTAACATAATGGATAGTAGCTCCTCTGAAAAATATTGACCGTCATTTAATTTTTATTATTGATCGGGCAAGAGAGTTCTCCCACAATATTATTAATTTTGATTCTGATTAGTAGATTGATTTATTGTGACGTAATGATGCCGTCGCGACTTCAAAAAAATCGTAACGTCACAACTAAAAACCACTTAACGCAATCATGACAACTTGAAGATTCGCTAGCACTACAATCAACGTGCAGACAATGTATTGGATACATACGAGTTGCGTAATTTTAATAAATAAAATCAAAATACTATTTCATTGATGTTTTGTTTTTCATATAACAAAACAATCATTGATTGTGTTTTCGGGTAACATGGATTAAGTTAGTCCCCTTTGGGACGAAAATATTGCCCTCTGCTCCGCGTCGAGCAATATTTCATCCCTTGGGGCTAACATAATCAATGTTGCCCTCAACCCAAGTCAATATTTGTATATCGTAAAAGAAACTGTTCTTTATTTGTATCAATGTTTGATAAGAAATATGGTTCGGGATGGTTTTGTCTCGTGGTTTTGGAAGACACATAATACCGTAGTTAGAAATTTTGAGTTCAGACGACAGATTCCTCAATATTTTTTTTTCCAAGAATTAATCATTGAATCATCATTATGAATGCCAGAGTCGGAGCAGATAATGAACTATACAACAGAGCAATGGGAGACATGGTTGTAGAATTATGAATAAAAATGGAGAGAGACTTGCAGAGTTTTGTTCCACCAACAACTATGTACATGTAATTGGAGGAACACTTTTTCCCACTGACACATTCATAAGTTTACCTGACACTCTCCAAAAATGAGAGACAAAAATCAAATTGGTCACATCATAATAAATGGAAAATGGAGACGATCATTAATGGATGTGAGGGTGAAGAGAGGTGCCGATGTTGATAGCGATCACCACCTGATAACAGCAACTATCAAACTAAAACCTCGTAGCACGGAGGGAAAGAACATGACAAGGAAGAAATCTGATGCAAACTTAAAGACATCAAGATATGAAATGAATTCAACATCATGCTGAGGGATAGGTTTGATATACTACGGAATTTGGAACCAGAGAACAACATACATGTAACATCAATGGACGAAAAGTGGGGGAAAATTAGCAACATCTACGCTGAAACTAGTAAAAAATGTATTGGTTATATGCAAAAACAAAGGAGAAAAAGCTGGATAATGCCTAGAACATGAATAATGAATGGCTCAAGAAGAGATGCCAAAAAAGTAAATGAGGCTAGATCTCTGAGGCTTAAAGAGAGAGATCAAAATGAATACAGTCAAATACAGAAGGAAGTGAAAAACGCTCTATGCACAGATACATGTAAGAGAGCACACATAGATGCCCTAGCAACAAAAGCAGCAGATGCAGCCAACAGGGGTGAGCAAGAAAACCTTTACAAATAACAAAGGCAGTGAGTGGCAGGAATAGACCTGTCAAGGACAAAAGAGGTAAGTTGCTGTCATCAGAGAAAGAGATTGAGGAACGATGGACAGAACATTGTAAGGAAATCTTAAAAGAGATCACCTCCAACTCATGAATCTGATATAACTGATCCAGCAGATGAGTGAGCTGACCTAAACATATACATTGAACCACGAAAAATTCCAGAAATTGTCTCTGTAATACAAACTCTAAGGAATGGAAAAACTCTTGGATATGACAACTTAAATGCAGAATTGTTCAAAATAGATCCATATCTAACAGCCACAATTTTCATAGCCAATTTTCCATGACATCTGGGAAAGAAACATCATACCAGATGAATGGAACCATGGAGTCATCATTAAAAAATAAAAGAAAGGCAACCTAAATGACTGCAACAATTGGAGAGGAATAACAGTTCTTTCCATGGAAAGTAAGATCATGGCCAAAATCATCATCAAAAGCATAGCTGTAGATGTCAAACTGCGTAAAGAACAAGCTGGATTTAGACCAGGACGAGGATGTATTGATCAAATATTTACACTAAGAAACATCATAGAACAGTGTGCAGAATGGCATCGACAATTATATATTAATTTTATTGATTTTGAAAAAAAGCTTTCGACAGCATTCATAGAGACAGTCTCCGAAAAATTGTGCGGTCATACGGCATCCAACAACATCTAATAGATGCCATTAAGAGTTTTTATGTAAATTCAGATGCAGAGTTGGAAACACCGGCATCGAGTTTGACGTTAAAACAGGAGTCCGTCAAGGTTGTATAATGTCATCACCATTCTTCATCATAGCCATTGACTGGGTAATGAAGAATACAACATCTGACATTCCAAGAGGCATCAGATAGAGTACATTCACAACACTAGAAGACCTGGATTTAGGTGATAATGCAGCCTTATTCTCCCACTCCCACCAGCACATTCAAGACAAAACCAGCAAATTCCACAAATACGCAGGAAGCATTGAACTAAAGATAAATACCAAAAAGTAGAGGTCAGAACACAGGCACTTGTTTCGATAATAAATTTTTAACACATACAGTACAGGCCACGAGTTTTCCCCGTCGCACGGTGGAAAACACACCGTGTGAAATGCTCTGTGTTACACCGTGTACACGGTGTAGCACGGTGTGTGTGGATTTGAAATACACAGGTAGGCACACCGTGCCGCACCGTGTCTAGAAAAATCCCTGCTAATGCACCCCGTGTCGCACCGTGCCCAGAAAATTCCCTCCGTGCCGCACCGTGTCCATAACATTACAGAGAAAAATCATTTTGTTCTGATAAAATATTTTAAGATTTTAAAAGAATTAGCACATTGATTTATATGTATAATTATCGTTTTCTAATCTAGAAGACATTGACATGTGTTCTGAATTGTACTAATGATACATGTAACAGGATTAAATATCAGTAACATAAAAATTAAGTGGAGTTGAATTTACCGTTCGCCCAGAAGTTCATATTTCGTAAAGTTGTTTACTAGTTATTTTTTAAAATTATTACTTGGATTGAAATTTTTTTATGTCTGAAGAATTTAATCCCACTTAATCACGTAACGAAGAAGTGGCATGATCAGTGTTACATGTGATATACGATCCGAGCTGCATGTATTTGTTTTAGTGTACAAACCAATCATTTATATTCTTGTGTAGAGCAAATTTATTTTGTTAATCTTATATCATTCTGAATTTATAAGCGAGAACCGAGAGCAAAATTCCTGTGTACAATAATGTGCGTATACGTACTTTTTCGTAACAGAATAAATTCTTTACATAAACTAGTAAGTATGAATTCTGTTTTAAAAATCTTTTCAGTGTAAGAATTTAATGTTTTTTCCTTAATTATGTAAAGAAACAATGTCAGAGAGAGAAAGGAGAGAGAGAGAGATGCTCTTAACCCCCTTTCACATGTCTGAAGAAAAAAAATCATTTAATTCTTCGTTTAATAATGCCGAAGCGTATTTCTCGTAACCGACGTTTTTTTTTTCTTTTTATAAACTAGTATCTATGTTTTAAATTAAAACCCTTTCAGTGTAAGTATTTTATAAGTTTTTCTGTAATTGAAAAGTGTGTAAAAAAAATTCAGAGAGAGAGAAAGAGAGATTCTTTTAACCCCCTTTCACATAAATCTGTAAAAAAAAAATAAATAAATAAATAATAATAATATTAATTCTTCGTTTTATTTACATTACCAATGTCACAATTAACCATTCTATGATACTATTTAAATTCTCTAACATTGTTTCATAGTCAACCCAGTTGCAACATGTTGTTTTCGGTTACACACGAAATCCTCGTGCTGCACCTGTCAATCAAAATCGCACGAGGCAAGATGGCCCAGGAAGTCTGTTTACGCGGAAAGTCTTGTGATTTGAAACATTCTTATGGTCAGTTCCGAGTTCACACCTTTCTTAAAAATATATTGGGATGCAGTCGGAGGGCCGGGGGCGCTGTGTGTTTAGCACACCTTTC